GTAAACCAAAGATCTTTAAAACACACGTCTTCAAGCCATGAAGCTCTGTGTTCGTTCTAGGTGGTATTTCTTAGGAGGCAGAGAGCAGTGGTCTGGATAGGCCATGTGGTTGCTCTCAGTATTCATTTGGGAAGTAACAAAGTGGATCGTTCCCACTTCAGATCAAATTTTAATTACAGTCTGGACTTCCGCCCGAACTTCTGCCCTTGGAACTAGCTATGGGAGCAGTAATGTGAACAGAACTGGGAGGATGGAGGAGAGAACATAGATGACTGCTGATTCAATAGAACACAGCAGCATAATCAAGAGATGAGACATCCAGGGTCAGCGTTGGCCAAGCAGTCCTTGGCAAGAGAATTTTTAAGCAGAGATCCATCCTGCCCTGCCTTGGTTCTCTACTGTGGTTTTAAGTGCTGAACGGCTGCTCTCTCACAATCAGGAACCTTTAAGGAGTCACCTAGATTCACTAGTCACTTGGGAAAATTTGGACTTACTCAGAATGATTAGGTATGATGACCTTTAACATCCTCTTGTTTTTATATGTAATTTCACAGCAACAGTCTGTAAGGGTAAGAAGAGGTATGGTAGCCTGATAACTCTTCCAGTTTGCCACTGACTCTGTCAATAGTTCTCTCCCTGTTTTAGTAACTAGTGGAAACTGTGAGGTTCAGAGAACCATTAGGGTAGAATAGTAATACTGTGAGTAGCATAGAGTTTAGCTGAAAGAGCCTCTTATGCCTCTTAGGTCTCCTGGTAGAACGTAATGTTTTCAGAATGATGGTTAATCTTTTACTTTAGATCTCATTAGACAGTGTAAAGGCTGCACAAAATTTCGGAAAAAGTCACATCTTTATTGCTATAATAGGGCAGGTTGTATTGGGCTGCACAAAGGACTACAACGTAGAAACGTCTGTGACCTGTTCTTGCCTCTGTCTTGTTGAGTGGTCAGCAGGTTGGTCGGCCTGCCAATGGTTGGTTGGCAGGCTAATCTTTTAATTTCATAGTCTGGAATTTCCTGGTTAAAATCCAGGGCACTGTTATTTATCACCAAGTGGGCCATTGCAGGGTTTTGAAGAAGCATTTGATTTGTGTTAGGATTGGAAGGCTTACAGTAAAAGTGGACTAATGGTGAACTGGCTCCGTATACGAGGGCAGGCCCTGCCCTGAATAGTTTGAGGTACTGAACACTGAGGGAGGCTGGCGACAGAGATTTTGTTATCCCCATTTTTCAGACAGGAAGCAGGGCAGCAGAAGGTAAGAGCAATAAGTTCCCACAGGGTAAATTCTCACAGATGAGTTAGTGTGCTCACTGCTGCTGCGCCAGTCCCTTCTCCTGCATAGTAACTATCTTTAGTCTGTTTTCACTGAAAACAGATCTAATTTATGTTTGCTTCCTAGTTCACCTCATGGCAATTCTTCTTGCAGCCATGTACTGAGTAATTAGCCAGAATCTCAGAAGAGGTATTCAGTGACACTAGCTATTAGTAAAACCTAGTCTTGCTCTTGGGATCATATCATAGAATGGTTTGGGTTGGAAGGGACCTTAAAGATCATCTAGTTCCAACCCCCTGCCATGGGCAGGGACACCTTCCACTAGGGTTGCAGGTAATGTTTTCTAAGGATCTTGGCAATGAAAGGTACTAAAAGCAGGTTCAGTAACCAGCTCACCATCCTTGGATATCAGTGATGGGTGACACCATGTGATGCTTTCATGGTACTGATGCCAAAATCATCAAATACCACAATCTGTTAACACCCTGAATGGGGGGGAAGTGGAGTTTCTAGGGTTTCTTGCTAGCTTGCTTCACTTTAGTAACTCTTCTGCTCTCCAGCTGATTAGACTTTACTCTGGGGCTCAGACAACTCATTGTGGTATTTCTTTCCATGATGCAGACTGCAACACAAGTTATGCTGGGTCAGAGGCACTCTGCCAGGCTCTAGGAAACTGCATCTCAGGGACTTGTTGACCACATGTGCTATCCTTGTATGGAGTAGCCCTTAAAAATTTATTCTCTGAACTTTTCTTATCTGCTTTGAACCTACAAAACTGCTGAAGATTTAGTATCATGTACATTTAGCATCACAGTTCTACTCTAGTGTTGCCTATGACCCATCACAAGGGGAGAGGTGGTATGAATGAGCTTTGAAATTGTATTCCCAGGGCACGGACACACCTAAGATTCTGTAAATGGGACAGAATGGGACAGAAATAAGCTGTGAAACCAGAAGAAGAAGCGGTTTACACATTATTGACTAGCCGTCAGGTTGTTTCCACTTGCAATTTTCCACTCAACCAAAGACACCCTGGGAGTGGTTTGATAGAGTTTCTGTGCTGGCACTTAAGTCTAGTGAATCCATTACAGGCAATGTCTCCAAGTTTTATGGCTAGTTTTCTTCACAGTGGAGTAACTTATTTGATGCTTTTTTGTTTGGTCATTTTTTTAACTTCCCCTGTCAAATGTCTAGTTTTAACTTTATCAGGCACACCAGCTGGGCAAGGCACCCCCTGTCCCCCAGCTCTGATATTCTTTAAGAGGATACCTAACGGTTAGCCAATTGTTGCACCAACATTTTTCTCATCACTGTGCAAATATGAGCTTTCACTTAGTGAGCCCATGTAACATAAATAACCCCTGGCAGATAGGCTGGAGTCATACTACCTGTTTGAACTGAGGAGGCTGCTTGCCAAAAATAATTGATTTGATTGCACTGGCTGGGTCTGTCAGAGTTTAATGGTGCATCATGGTAAGGTGCAGTCTTTGAGAAAGCCAGAGACGTGTAATACAGAACTGTGTGCGTGTGCTCAGGCCCAAGCAAAAAGATTTGATGCTACCAGTAAAACTGTTTATACCTGTTGGTTGTCTAAAACTTCATTAATTAAGTCAGTGAGGTATTACTCTGTAAAATGTGGGGAGTCAAGGTGTTCTGCATAGATTACTTCAGGTTGACCAGGTTGTCTAGGGACAGCAGAAACTCCGCAGGTAGCCTCTGTTGTAAAAGATTTTGCATTGAAATGGAAATATGTCTGCAATACCACCGTAAAAGGTGAAGACTGGGAGCAAGCAAAGAATTCTGCTTGGCAGATAGCAAAGAAAAGAGGTTTGATGTCTTACTCTTCTGGAGTGCTTGTACTGTTGTCCATGTAACTGCTATAATGATGACTCAGGAAAGAAACCAATCCCATAGCCACCCACTGCTTTTGGTGAAGGGTGCATGTTGTATCCCTGCAAGAAAGATGCACCACAAAAGAGTGGAGGATCTTCAAGTAGTATTGCTACCTTATGTTGTGGTAAGACCCTGACTCTTGTTTTGTCTCCACTGTGCCGCTTCTATTAATATTACTGGAAGCAGGGAGCATGGAAAATTAAAATCTCTTTTTAAAGCTCAGGGTAGGTTAGAAACAGCAGAATTGGCCAGATCCCAAGGTCCCACTCCTAAAACAATAAGCAAACATGACAAATAGAAAGCTTTTTCATTTAGAGAACATTAATGTCATTCTTACTAGATTTATGGTTAGATAAAATCTGTGTTCAAATACTACCAGTTATGTGTGATATGCTGTATGAAGGGAGGATCCAGAATTTTTGGCTGAATCGCAGAAGCATTAGCTGAACTGGACAACATATTTCTGTACCTTTGTAGTCTAGAGTTGTTATCCCCTTTCCCACTTCTCCCACCATTTCCCCAACCTTCATCTGGTCAATAAATGCATGGGAACCAATTTCCAATGGTTAACTACCTGGCAAGATAAGAAGTCTAGATTCTTTCCATCTATATAATATGTATGTATATATTTATATATCCAAACATGTTAGATGTGCTGCTGTAATAGATTGGATGAGTTATTTTGTGACTGCTGGAGTTTTACAACTGACCAGCTGTGCTATGTGCCTCGGAGACAGACACCGCGACGTAATTCCTGCCTTCTGCTGCCTGCTCCAGCCCAGTGCGTCTGTGAGATACTTTCAGTCGCGACCCGATAAAGTCTGGGTTAATAATAATCGGGGGGGATCAAGGGAGTAGCATTGCTTGGATGACATAGTACTTTAGCAGAGGCCAGTGCACAGTATGCTGGAATAAAAAATAGTTTAGGTATCAATAAATAAAACATAGGGTTCTGAGTTGGCTGAAAAAATGACACAATTTATCTTTTGATATTTCCATTCCTGACATCTAGAGGCAAGCCTGACGCCAGAAACACCGGGGAAGAGACTGAGCAAGGAGGGATACAAATTGAACTTCTGACTCTGAAAGGCATTTTTAATCAGTTAGGTTCCAGGGTCCTGGCTTATATAAATGTAGGAATGCTATGCACCTCCTTTGCAAAAAAAAGAAAAAAAAACCCACAACATAAACGCCCTAAGGGGTTGTAATAAAAAACCAAATACATTTAAAGCAATAAGGATGGTAAAAAAATTAAACAAAAGGAGTTTTATTGTCAGGAAATTGATTCCAGGGAAGTATACATTTTTTTGTCAGGTAGAGGTTGATTTTGGTTGAACCTTCTGTCAGAAAAATTACAGGGAGATAATCTACATTGGTGGGGGTAGGAAGTAATTTTTTTTTAGATGTCTGAGTTGTGTTTATACATCTCTTGAACTCCCATTCATCTCTTACTCCCCAGTGGGGCTATATAGCCCTTTCAGCAGCCCTAGGGGTGAACACTGCTCTGTAGCATGGAAATCCCAGCTCAGTGACAAAGCAAATGTGGAAGTAGTAAAAAACTCAAGGTAATGCAATCCTTTTCTTGAGGAGCTCTGAGAAACACTGGGTCATTTGCAATAAGGAGAGACTTGCTGAGCACCCTCAGTTCTCACTGCCCTCAGACATTTATTATTACAAATTTTACTTAAGGTTATGGCCTTTCTCTCTACTGCAAGACACTTTGGAACCTCGCACAGAGCCGGTGTACACATTGTGAGTGCCAAGTCCCTGTACAGGGTGAACAATCTCTCGTTGTTGCCATTTCTAATATTTTCTTTCTGTCTTTCTGCGTTGCAGATGTGGATGAATGCGCTTCAGATTCTCACCAGTGTAACCCCACCCAGATCTGCATAAATACTGAGGGGGGCTATACCTGTTCCTGCACTGAAGGCTACTGGCTGTTGGAAGGCCAGTGTTTAGGTAAAAACCTTGTGTAATGTCGTATTTGAGCGTCTGTATGTGTACTTGTGAATAGCTGAAATAAGGTCACTGAGCATCTTTGTCAAGTACACGGTTAAACCTTCGGCTATGTGGAAACTGTCTTTGACCTTTCTAAGTGCCAACGGTACGCTTGGCAGAGCGACTCCCTCATGGAACGAAAATGTAGATGTAAACGCCATATGACTAGCATCCATGGGATTTTCATATTCGCAGTCTGAAGGATTCCCTTTCATATACCATCAGTCGCAAGCATGTATACAAAAAGATTTATTCCCCAACAGACCTGTCCTTCCCTCACTGTGACACTGTGGACCTGAAGGGATCGGTACTTGATGCCAAGGAATGGGCCAGAAAATCCCTAGATTCAACCAACCCTTTTGCATGGGGGTGAGAAAAAAATTACCTCTGAACTGGGTGCCATTTCAGTAGCTTCCAAGGAGCTGTATTTCAATTTTATTATTTTCCTTGCAGCAACATTCTGTTCATCCTTTTAGCTCAGCTCTGTTAAAAAAAACATCCCTCAACAAAGCGCATGGGAAAACCTTCCAGCTTCCCTCTCCTCCAGCCCATTCCCCTCACTTGACATGCCCATGGAATGATGATGTAGATGTTAATTGTAGGTACAGGGATAGGACCTAGCCTTTGGGATACAACTTTTTTCTTTTAAAGTTTGCTCATTATTACTTTTTTCCCCTCGGCACAGGGGGGACCATCCTGTCACAACACCTCAGCTGGAATGAGAAAGGGCTTTCCCTGCCCATTCATCCCTGGAGCCTCTCCAGTTATTTTCAAACTTCCTTCTCCCATGTGCCAGTTCCAGTGAAGGGCTGACTCACGGCTGCTTTCCTGACTACTGCAACCAGCTGCTGTGTAACTCACCTGGCAGGGACAGAGCTGAGCCCTGTCCAAGCAGGGGTGTCTGCAGCCATAGCTGCTTTGGGGAGTCACTGTCTTGTAGTTCCCCTGGGATATGAAGCCTCCAAGCCCCCTGTTCCTTAATCTCTGATAATTCCTCTTCTCTTGGAAAAAAAGCTTGTGCCGGGGGTTGTACAGGCATACGTGATGGGGTGCGGATGTGGGAGGACAGGGAGGGGGACTCTGCTCTGCATCACCTGTTTTGTTACCCATTCACTTCTCCCACTTACAGCCCAAACAAAAGGGCTGTGCGCAGCGTTCAGGATTTGGACATGGATCTAAAGTACTTTATTGCTTGATGGATATACCAGAGAACTGAAATGGCTGCATTGCCGAGTTGATTTGCGTATCTGCTTGCGCTATTTAAAAACAGGCAATAACATCCCAGTGCTGCCCACTTCACGTAATCATGGGGTGGATTATTGCAGGGCAATGCAAAGAGGTAAAGGCATATTGTGTTTAGAGTTGCTGTATTTTTCCCTAAGTGTAAAAAAAGTGTCGGTTTTCCGTACTTTCCACTGGCCTTGGAGAAGTGATTTTTGCTGGCAGAAAGCAGTAAAAGACCGTTTACTGAAATCCTGGGTTGGTTTTAGAGACAGAATTTTTCTGTGCACTGTTAGTAAACCACAGCTACAAAAAGCTACGCTTCTATCTGTTGTAATTATCCCAGTAAAGTATATGTAGTAGAAGCCAGTCCAGCAGTATCCACACAACCCACCCACAAGAAGCAGCCCTGTAAAAGGCCTTATCCCCAAAAGTAGCAATCTTGAGATAACGGTCCCGCAAAAGCCAAAGCATGTATTTAAAGTAATGCGTTGTGTCAGTGAAATGAGCTATTGATTTACCTAAAATCCATGTCACCTTTTGCAGGATCTGGGCCAAGCCCACTGCTGATGTACGTACCAGAGCCGACCCTGGCCTTTAGGTTATCTTGCTATTTAGAATGCAGTGACAAATAAAAGTTAGTAAGGGTGAAACTGCGTGTCAGTGTCCTTGTTATTTTTCACAGAGACTATTTCCAAGAATTTTGACATTTTAAGAATGGTTTCCTGAGACTTTCTATGGCAAAATTGACCCGATGTAGGCCAACAACATAAACTTGAATTGCAGGATGTAGCTACTTATACAACAGTCTCACAACACTGTTGTTTTTATGGTATTACCACATTATGTAAATGTTCAAGTTGTTCAAGAATTCTGTTTCCCAACACATTCTTAATATTTAAAACAGGAAGCAGCCAATTTAGCAAACAAAAGATGAACTGCTGGAATTCATGCAGAGATCTATGTATACGTGTGAACCACAGAGAGAATGTAATTTTGATTTTCCCATCCATGGGAACCTGTGGTGAAGGTCATTTCACCAAAATCTGCACCTTCTTGCTTTGCTCCTTCTGGAAAACTGACTGAAGATAATCACTTGGGTTTCTACTGCACAAACCTCAAAGCTTTGAGACTAGCCACTAAAAAGTTTCCATAAATCAAAAGGCAGTTGACACCACAGGAAATGTAAAGCCTCAGACAGGACAACTTCTCCAGGTGTTTCATTCCATTTCTTAGTCCAGGGGCAAAATTCTTCTAGCACTTACCTTCATACATATCTTACAGCATTTCCTTGTGCTTATGACAGTCAGTTGCATGTATTGCTAATGCGGCAATTCAGCCCAAACTGCTATTTTGGCATTCAATTTACTGTTTACCTTTTAGAGTCTATAACTTGTCAGTTAAAAATTCATATAAAAAGTGAGTGTGACTATTCGAGGGAGGAAAAAAAAGTCTTTAAAGAATATCCTCTCTAAAAAAGGAAGTATTTAGTAACAAATACTTACTGCTTTTCTAGTGCTATGTGTGGAGGGAAGAAAAGTTTCTATTAATTCTGACAAAACTGTGCTGCAGCGTTGGCTGTGCTTGTGCTGACAGGCTGTGCCAGCTCTCAGGTATGCTTCAAGTTAGCCACCTAAAGGGACTGACTCTGGGCTTCCTGGTGACATCACATGAAGCTGAAGATTACAGCAATGACAGTCAGTTTATAGGACATGATTGTTGTCAGCTGTGGATAAAAACCCATGACTACATTCTACTGGGTAGAGATGTATTTTAGTTGTAACTGTGGGCCTGAACACCTGAAGTTTGGCTGCTATATCCATAACCAGTATGCTGGGTTATTTCTGTGTTACTGGTACTGTTGGCTCAGTGTGTTTGCTGCTTTGTACCTGCATGTGAAAATGCAGACCACTCTGCTTTTCGTCTTTCCCATCTCTAGATATAGATGAATGTCGCTATGGCTACTGCCAGCAGCTGTGTGCCAACGTGCCCGGTTCCTACTCCTGTACGTGCAACCCAGGCTTTACCCTTAATGATGATGGAAGATCATGCCAAGGTACTGTGTGTGGTAAACCATGACTGAAATATTTGGTCCCAGTCCAGCAGCACCCTTAAAACTTGCTTAGTTTACAGAATACAAGTAACCTTCCCAACAGAGGGGTACAGGTGCAACATGACCAGTGTATCAGGAGAAATAGGCACAGAGGACCAAGCCCTAAAATGCAGAGTTGCTCAGTTCACTGAAATTACTACGAGTTTAGGCACTGCATTTATTTTTAAAGTCAGGCTGTGTGACCCACCTGAGACTGGAAATCTCTGTCAGATCAGCAGATTAGATCTGAGTCTCCCAGGTTCCAGACTAGAGTCCTGAGCATTAGACCCCCTTTTGCTGTGATGTGCTACCTCGATCAAAGGCAACAGAGCCTCTTTACAAAGTCTCTCCGTAGCTAAGCAGGGAGCATCTTCCCACATGCTGCAGGAAATGGTCTGTGCCAATGGTGTCCAGAAGCTGCTAATGTCCTAAAAGGAAAAAAAAAAAGCCTTTTCTTAGCCCTAGGTTTCCATGAGGACCGTTCCTCATTGCATTTTCTTCCTCAGGAATATCCTGCTGCATTTTGTCTCAGGTCTGTTATGACATAATCAGTTCAGTGGTTTTAAAATTGCAGGATAAAGACAGAAACATTTGTAATAAATATTTCGTCCCCTTCTTCCATGTTATTTTTTTTGGTTGAAGACATTCCCAAAATGCTTCATTTCCACACATGTTGTGTTTCCAACATGCTATTTCCAGGCATCAGCCTGAATCCCAATAAACAATACTGATTTGGCTATATTTTTTCAGAACAAACCATTCTGACTGTACAGCTGATCTCTTTGAAGTGCTTTACAGTAATGAATTGAAAACAGAGTTTGGGGAGAAGTCACTGATGCATTGGCCATTGGTTTCCCACAGATGTGAACGAATGCACAAGTGAAAACCCTTGCACTCAGACCTGCGTCAATACCTACGGCTCTTTTCTCTGCCGCTGTGAACCTGGCTACGAACTGGAAGCTGATGGAGTTAACTGCAGTGGTAACTGTCTTCAGTTATTTATTGGTTTGGTTTCTTTAATTCTGTTGTTTTATTTTTCCAATGGATTGTTTTCTAAATGCTTTTTTAAAAGTTTTTTGCCTTGGTCCATGGTTAGCAGCAGGATAGCTGCAACTCCTCTGATCTTCTTTCCAGTTCAAGTACATAGCAAATACCCAGAAAAGCACAATGGAGGAGGGCTGCAAATGGTTTTAAAGAAATAGGCTAAATATTAAAAAGCTCCAAGATAACAGCAAAACATAAGAAAACATTTTGTAGTGCTGAACAGGAAGCTTTATTAGAGCAAGTGAAGTAGGGATAGTCCTAGAACATTCTTCCATGATTCAAGAAATACTTTCTATAAAGCACTTTTCCATTTGTCTCTGGAATACCTGTATTCCCCTTGCTCTTAGGACTGCACACGTCTGCCTGAAACCTTCCCCAGTTTCCTCTGTGTGGCTCTGGCTACTCTTCAGAAGCAATACATGGTTTCTTAGTACAGCTATTGCTAACTGTTCAGCACACAGCAGAAGAAGCTGTGCTTATGTCACCGTACTTTTTCCTCTCTTGTCTTTGTTTTTATTTTATGGCTTTATTTTAATTGAAGGCAAAACTTATTTCTGGGCTTAATGTTCCCACAGCCTGATAAAATTAGAGAATGCAGCCAATATTTCTGGGAAGGAAAAATGCACTGGAAAATACTTGTTTTTTAATTTACAGTAAACAGATGTAACGTGCCGTTTCTGAGAGAGAAGACATGATATGCAGTATGTGTATAGATTAGTGTTTCCAAGGATGTTCTTCCCTGCAAACCTCTTTATTGTATGGGAAAGAACAAAGGCTTAAATCTCTGAAGGGTCTTATGCACTTAACATTTAGAGCTGCAGCACATAAGTTTTCTGCTTTCTAATGAAGTTTCTCCATCTAAGTTAGACTCCTGCAAATTTTTGTGCACCTCTGAGCTAGCTGGGGGCCTGAACCATAATGCAATGCCACATAAACATTGCCAGTACAAAATGGGGACAGAAGAGGTGATGCCTGAGCCTCATTCGTGTCTGAGAGTTAAGTCAGCAAAAGGGACTTTCCACCACAGTGATGTAGGGCAGGAAACCTCTTACTGACAATTCTGTGCAAGAAAAAGCTTGTCAAATCAGCTCAGATTTCTCTGGATGAGCTGCTTTCATTTCACAAGCAATCACTAGACATCGCCAAGGCTTGCAAAGGAAATGCCTGGTTAGGAGGACACTCCCATGAGACACCCAGGATCCAGATGTACTTCAGTAGCCTCTGGACTAGTCCACGGCCTAGCAGCCAGCTGACCTGGAAGATGGGAGGCATCCCTGTCCCAGTTCAAGGAGACAGGCAGAGATTCCAACCTGGCTTGCCCAACACCAGCATTATTTTCTAATCACGGAAGTCTTGCCAGTGGATCAGACGTGCTTGAAGTGCCTACCATCTTGTCCTCTCCCTGCAGTCAGCAGAATGCCGGAATTGTTTAGGAACGGCAAAGGTGTGTGTGTCCTGCGTGGGCTCAGCAGCAGGGATGC